TCCACCCTCCCCTCTGCATCTCCCCCATCAGCAGATCCTGCTAGACCTTTCTTCCTCATGTATGTATTCAGCTTCTCCTGAAATATATTCCTACTGTTCACCTCAACCACTCGCTGTGGGAATTAATTTTTGATTCTCACTCCTCATTGGGTAAAGAGGTTTCTCATGAAATCCCTTTTGGATTATTGAAGCCCTTCGTCATTTTAAAGGCTTCCATCAGGTCACCCTTCAGGCTTCTCTTTTCTAGAGAAAAGCTCCTCAACCATTCCTGATGTTTATATGTTTTCACTTCTGATAATACCTTTGTGAATCCATGTAATAATGTTTTCCAGTGCCTTTGTTTCCTTTCTCTAAATGGAGATGACAAATGTTGACGTGCTCACAGTGGAGTCAAACTTAGCTTTGAAATAAGTGAAACTTCATTTTCCTCCTTTTTCAGCTCTATTCCGATAGAAAGGGGCCTAAATATGGGTTAGGCCTTTGCAGAATGATGTTAAGTTCCATGAGCTATCTGAGACAGGAATTAGGGGTATTTCATCAGGGATTTAGGACTTCAGTTGGTTGGAGTGACTGGAGCAGCTCATCCTGTTCTCTTTGGATCATAAACTCACTGTTGCAGAACAGGGAGGGAGGCCATTCAGCCCTCTGAGGTCATGCTGGCTCTGTTTGGAACAAGTGTCGGTCCATGTTCTATCCCGATAACCCTGCAGGTTTATATCTGTCAAGGACCTTCCAATTAAAAAATAAGTAATGCATATACTGTTCAGGATGAGAAATGAACTGGAATAATTCATTTTAGATGTAGTTGAGGACAACCTTCCAATCTAGTATTCATCTATATTCTACGTGAAGTGTGGAAAGTTGAGATGATTTAGAAAAATTGATATCTTTCCTTCGGAATGTTTGCATTGTTTGCCAATAAATTTTGTTTTGGGAAACCGCATTTGATAATCTGGTCATGACCTGACAGATCAGGATCACACAGGGAGATGTTGAAACAGCCATGCCTTTTGATAAATTCACCTGAAAGTTAATATGTACCGTGACATTGGGCTATCGGTAATGTGCAGATGCTACTTGTTATACACGAAAGAAATAACATGTAAATTCACGGTAAACCTGCACTAAAGAGTGGGTCCCAAACACATGCAGCTCCTTGAGAAACAGCCGGACATGAAATGGTTAATGTGGCCGGGGGTGACGAGACAGCATTGTGACATCATCAAGACAGTGACACGTTCTCCCGAGAGAAACTGACCTGAAACAATCCGGAGAGAATTCAACCCACAGGGAATGGTCAGAAAGTCAGTGAGGTTCATTAGGAAGGGGTTAAAAACTTAGATTGGCAAAACTAGGCACTCTCCACAGGATGGACACAAGTAAATAAAAAGGATGGGGAATCTTTTACGTCCATGTTTGACCTGTTACTTGATGTTCCTGTATCTGTGGATGAGTAATTTATAACTCTCGGCACTCCTCAGGAGGATAGATCGAGTCATTGTGACCCAAGCAGTGCCCAGAGCAGAACTGGAAATTAACAAAGTGCAATTGAGAGAGGGGTGTTGCGTGTGTGAGAGAGAAAATTACATCCCTCTCAAGCAAGTAAATATCATTTTTCAGATTTCTTGCTAATTAATGGACATTACCTGAAATACTATAATGAGTTTATTTG